GAATATGTTATGTCAAAACCAGATACGGGTCTCGGAACACTTGTGAAACGCCCCGATGCTTTGATTCGCCTTAGTCATGTGACATGGGTGTTTCGAATCACACTTCGGAGGAGTGTTTCGAAACATCTGCACTTCGGGATCTTGACACTGTGTCGAAACATCAGTTTTGCGTCAGCTATCCCTATTTGGATTATGTTTGGATCACTTTTACACTTTTACACATGTTTGTAAATAAACTGCACATGGGTTCTTCAACTTGCCGTTCAGTGGACTACTCATTACAGAATGCACGACCGTAACATGAACCCAGCAGTTAGCCTCCTCTGCCTTCGTCAAGGCGACAGGGCCATAGAGGACTATATTGCCGACTTTTGTGGACTGTGCTATTTGGTAGATTTTAATGATGTGGCTTTAAAGGACATTTTTCGACATGGACTTAATGATTCTCTTAATTACCTCATGCCTCTCCATACCCCTCACTGGACTCTTGAGCAATATATTGATTTTGCACTCCGTTTAAGTTGTTCCTCGTTTAATGTGGTATCTGCCACACCAGAACCTGTTCACAAGATGGATGCCATTCCAAAGTCTGCTCACGTCAAGCCAGCTACACCAGAGCCTGCTCACATCATGCCGGCCACTCAAGAGACTCTTCACAACATGTCCGCCATTTAAGAGCTTTGTCGCAAGATGGCCGCCACACAAGAGTCTCTTTGCAAAATGACCACCCTTCTAGAGTCTCGTCACGTCTCAGCTGATCTTCCAGATTCTCGTCACTTCTCAACTGATCTGCCAGAGTCTCGTCACGTTGCAGCTTATTGTCCAGAGACTCGTCATGTCTCAGCGGATCTTCCAGAGTCTCATCACGTCGCAGCTGATTGTCCAGAGTCTCGTCATGACATGGCCACCATTTCAGAGTCTGCTCACGTCGAGCCTGCAACCCCGGCCAAGATGGCCGCCACGCCTGAGTCCCCGGCCAAGATGGCCACCACGGCTATAGTATCCAAGCTCCTGCGGATGTGGAGCTTGGGCCTGGACTGACGAGACTGGTTGCTAGTGTGATGGACCAACCACTGATGTCAGTGCGAGCGGCTGACATCTCAGTGGTTTCTACGCTCTCAAGCCCGGCAGGCATCCCACTGTCTGCTGCACTGCCCATGATGGCAGTCGCCATTTTGAGCGTATGGGCTACACACTGCGCTCCAGAGGCCTCTCCTGTCCACGAGTCTGCTCCAGAGGCCTCTCCTGTCCACGAGTCTGCTCCAGAGGCCTCTTCTGTCCATGAGTCTGCTCCAGGGGCCTCTCCTGTCCACAAATCTGCTCCAGTGCCTTTAGAGGTGGCGGTGTCCACTGCAGAACCTCCCGAGGCGGCGGCATCTGCTTCAGAACCTCCCAAGGTGGCGGTGTTCGCTTCTGAATTCACAGTCTGCCCTGCCACGGCCAAGGAGGCCGTTCATGAACTCATAGTCTGCTCTGTCACGACCAAAGAGGTCGTTTATGAACATTCTGCCTGTCATGTTACGGCTATGGAAGCTGCTCAAGAACTCTCTGCCTGTTCTATCACGGTGAAGTGGTCTGTCCACGTATCGGCTCCGCCATGGCTCCATGCTCCTATGGATCTGATCCATGGCCCAGGTCCTCTGTTGATCCACAGTCTGCCACTGCTCCATGGTCCAGGTCCTCCAGTGCTTCACTGTCTGCAACTGCTCCACGGCCCAGGTCCTCCAGTGTATCACTGTCTGCCACTGCTCCACGGTCCAGGACCTCCAGTGCTTCACTGTCTGCCACTGCTCCACGCCTCAGGTCCTCCAGTGTATCACTGTCTGCCACTGCTCCCCGACCCAGGTCCTCCAGTGTATCACTGTCTTTGTTTGGGTGTCTGGAGCCGCCCTTAGAGGGGGGGGGGACATGTAGTAATGTGGGGTTTTGGGTTTTGTTTCATGTTCTTGTTTTCATGTCTTTTATTTTGTAATTTGATTCATGCTGTAGGTGTCATGCTTCCCTTGCCCTCATGTATTTCTGCCCTGTGTATGTGTCAAGTTCTGATTGGTTGTTATAGTCATGTGTCTTGTTCCTCATTGGTTATTGTCCTGTCATGTGACTCTCAGTTCTGTTTGCTCATTGGTTGATTCTTGTCATGTGACCCATAGTGTTTGAGACAAATAGCCCTCATGTTCACATTGTTCTTTGTCGTGTATTAATGTATGTATCTGCTGTCGGTGAGTCTAGTCTGTTCAAGTCAAATCCGTTCAAGTCAAATCTATTCAAGTCAAGTCAAGTCTTTGTTTGGATTATGTCTGGATGTTTGGATCACTTTGTAAATAAACTGCACATGGGTTCTTCAACTTGCCATTCAGTGGACTATTCATTACACCTGCCTGAAATTTTCATACACTTTTTTTTAAACGTATTTTATTTTATTTTTTATTTTTGCGATTCCAGATTGTCTGGTGAAGGCGTGTTTAATTGGTGCTGGAACTAAACCCTGCCAGTCAGAATAAATATTTCTAGGAGTGTGATTTTTGCACCTTTGCTGATTATAAAGCTGCATAAAAGTTCATTAAAAAAATTTCTCTGTTACTCTGAAAGGAAAAAGAGTAGTTTCTATCAATAAAATTTAAAATAACCAAAATATGCAAAAAGAAATAAATAAAAAGAAATAAAATAAATTTTTAAAATGTTATTCTTTGAGATGAAGTTCCTTTATTTCTCTTTCTAGATATGTAAAGTAATTTGACTATCTCTGTTCTCTTATATTATTCGATGGCTAATGTGCCAACGGTTTAACAATTGCATTGTTCAGAGCAATTTTGAAAATAACCCAAATGTCAAAAAAAGTATGCACGAGCGTTTATAAAACAAGACAACACGTATTTACAGTAGTTCACAACTGTAGAGCTTCTTAAAATATTGTTCCAACTTAGCACGCAAAAACTATAAAGATAAAAATAGATGCTGTCGATAACAATTCTCTATTCAAAGACAAAAACTGCTACACGCTACCAAAGCCAGTCGATCTATTATTTGAACGTTTACAGTGAGAAAAGGAATTTTAATAAACAGCGAGTAAATGGCACACATATCCTACCAGAGCCGCGGAGTCCATGGCGGTAGCAGTGTTGACGTGGACAGCTTTGAGCTGTCATTACAGTAGCGCTCCTAAAACCCTCTGACTCACAGGGGGCGTGTCTGCAACTGCAGCCCTCAAGCCGCCATGTTGGCTCAAACCCACCTTTCTGCTTCAGCAGCGCTACGGCACAGGAGCCACAATGGCGGCTTCCATTGTACGATCTGCTGCTCACTTGAATGTTGGTTGGGAAGTCTTGAGAATGAAATACATTTTTGGGCGTCATTTCATTTGCTCTTATGAGTTACTCGTTTTCCAAATAAGTTTCATTAAACGCGTGACTGCCACCAGCATGAGATATCTGAACCAACAGGATATGCAATGAATAGATAATGAACGGCTGCTGTAAGCAAATTAATTATGTAACGTCACCTCTTACTAGCGCGACAGGGGGCAGCAAAGCTGAAAAGGTTCAGGGATCAGGGGTGAAGATTGCTTGCAGCTTACTGTAAATACACTCACTAAAATATCACATATTAATAATAATAATAACAATCTGCCAATCCTTTCCCTTCTTCCTCCTTAAAGAATACCAAAATTTACTCACTCATTTACTCAGGTTGTTCCAAACCTGTCCGAGTTTCTTTTGAAGAATGTAGGTAAGCAAAATGCAAAATGTTGACGGTAGCCATTGACTTCTATAGTATGAAAAAAACACCTATGGATGGCTACCATTAACTGTTTGCTTACCAACATTCTTCCAAATATATTCATTTGCCGTGTTGGGGGAAACACATTACAATTAACGATACGTAATCAGATTACTTTTTTACTTTTTAATTTACTAGAGAATATCCGAGTTACTTTTTCAAATAAGTAAAGCAAGTTACTTTTTTTCCCCATTTTATTGATTGGCAGCTCTCCTGTCCCCATGTTGAGAGAAATCAGAAGATGTTACTGTAGTTCTAAAATAAATAGGAATATGAATTAATTCATCTCACTCACACACAAAAAAAACACAGATTCAGTATTCCTCAAAATGAATAAAAATAACGCAACTCAGAATATGACGCAAACCTGCAAATAGTTAAATGTTAAACAACACAAATATCCTTTATGTATTTAATCCCATTCTATTTGCTTCTGACCGTCGATGATCCAGTTCAACCGTACTAATAAGCACAAATTACTCTAGACAAACATTTGTGTGTCTTTGTTTATTGCTGAAGTGTGTTGACATTTCTTCTTCTGCATTTTACTGTACGGACGTAAATGTACTTTCCCTTCAGCCTGAGGCGTATTCATTTCACTTTTGGTGTGAAAGGGCTTTTATATTTGCCAAAAATAGAACTTTTTTATTTTAAAAACAAACAAGCAAGCCCTGTCCAGATTTAAAAAGTAACGCAAAAGTAACGTAACGCATTACTTTCCATAAAAAGTAACTAGGTAACGTAATTAGTTACTTATTTATGGAGTAACGCAATATTGTAATGCATTACTTTTAAAAATACCTTTCCCCAACACTGTTCATTTGTGTTCAAATGAACTTATACAGGTTTGGAGCAAGTGATGGGCGTAATGATGAATTTTAATTTATGGGTGAACTATCACTTTAAATATTACCGCACATTGCATAATTTGCCATCATCCAATATATGCACGTGTAGGTAAACAAATCAATAAAAATCAGAGTACCTATTAGTATAATTTTATTCCTGTCTGTTATTCCGTGGCTTTTGTTTCATGGTCCAAAGATAAACACGACCGCTCTAGAAAACACATATGATGTGTTATTGGAAAAACCAGCAGTCTCTTCCAAACAGTGACAACTGGGGCGCGAGCTTGCGCCCTCTTGCAGAAAGAAACCGAAAGTCTCATCACTTCCTGTGGGGAGGAGACCATTACTGTCCACCGCTTACTTCTGCCATATAAATACACTCGCACACTATTATAGAGCATGTGAAGCTGAGTGATTCAGATCATCCAAGAGGAGTAGCCCGCTCTCAAGTCTGTCCAGGGACTACAAAGTAGGCTAATGTTTTATTGACTAACTTATCCATAGCACAAATCTAAACATCAGATATTACGAACTGTTATGAATCTAATATCACAATGCTCAAGGCAAGTTGTAGTTTATCGGTGTAACGATCTTTCTATTCTAAAAGCTTGTGCCGCGCGCTAACTAACTGTAAATATGTGTTGCATCGCTGATCGTTACCAGAATGAGATATGAAAGGAAAGAAGCATGTCTTGCAATATTTTATTACTTATTTTTCTGAAGAAACCTCAACTCTAGCCGTCCTGAAACACTAGTGTTTATTTCACGAGAAACGTTTTGACTACACCATGGGGTGACCCAGTCGCCTGTTGCCCGGTTATGAGCCTAAGTGGGTCAGCGGGAGTGTCACGCGCTGATGATTGCAAGTTTATGATCTTCAGTGCTGATGCGTTCAAGACATTCAACAGAGCATTCTAGAAGTTTCGCGTGTCCACCGTGAAATGGTTCACTTATGTTTGAAATGTTGACAGCTGCCAATGTTTTGCTGCCTATGCTTGAACTAAAAAAAGAAACTGCATTCACAATACAGAACAGCCTCGAGTGCATCACTGCTTTTTTCCCCCTAAGGGTCATTACATTTTAAAATAAAAGTACATTTTTAAATTACATTTTATTCTGTAATGTAATTAAGAGAATATAGCACGTGAAATAACACGTTGTTCTATGCAGCGTTGTGCTATTTCAAAGTGAACAGGTGTTCACCTCACAGCTGGAACGCTGTAATGACCAATCAGAAGCCAGGAAAAAGATTCGCTTAGGTTTGATGTCTTTCTTGCTGAGATCTCACTTATTGTTAAATCTCTTAAACTCACTGATAACAATAAGAACAATACGTTTCTTAAGGTTTATGCTGATATTTTTCTTACTGATTGCTCTTGTTGTTTTTGTTTTTCCTTTCCTTTTCTCCATTTTCCTTTTATGTTATCATAATGCAGTGCTGGTTTTTGTTTCTTACAATAAAAAAAAAAGGAACACATATAATTATAGGCTATACAATGATGTTTCGCCTTTTGGCACTGAAAAAAACAATTTTCACTCTGAAATTGCTAGTAAACTTCGCAATAAAAAAAACAAATTAAATGTGAAATTCTGAAGTAGAAAGACTTAAATAGGCTTTTCTTGTACAACATAATTTAATAATATTAGTTTTTTTTACTTTTGAAAATATTATAGTGCTCAGTAAACCATGGTGTCGCTCGTTAACCTTTATAACTTAAATATAATTTCTATTTACAATAAACCATCTCTCATTTTTTTAATAACAAATTATTTAAACAAATATGACTGAATACAAAAGAAGGGTTTGTCTAAGCATTATACATTAACTGGGAATGTGTGAATCTTAAATCCTTATATCGTTCTTCTCTTCTGTTTCAGGATTTTTCAGTGGTTTTTTTTTCTATGAACTAAAAAAAATCAAAAACTGAAGTTTTCTTCATGGAGAAAGAAGTCTAGAAATTCTGGATACACAAACGCGCTCACATTGCATTTGAGACTGACTAGGCTCATTTGTTGCTCTTGGCAGTGGTTTGGGCCATGCCGGACCTGAAGAAGTACCTCACGGAGGGCCTGATCCAAGTAGCTATTCTTCTCAGTCTGGCTGGGATGCGTGTGGACGTGGATCCCTACCTGCCCCCTTTTAGTGAAATCATTCTGGGCCCAAATTCAGCTCTAACTCAGACTCAATTCCACAATCTTCAAAACATCTTGGATGGATATAACCTGCACCCAAAAACCGCAGATCTAGATGGGTTCTTCACAGCTCGCAGGCTTCTGAATTGGGTTCGCTCCCTAGACCACCTGCAGGTTCCAGCGGCGGAGTTGGAAGCCTGGTTGGTCCACGGGGAGCCTGAAAATGGAGTCTCCATTCCAGCTCAAGTGGGTCTCCTTGAGGAAGGTGGAGGACTTGAAGATGTGGAGGAACCCTCAGAGCTAAGCATGAGGTTGGGAAATGGAGGAGAAGTGGGTTATGATGTAGCTGAGGATCAAACCCTCGGAGCTTTAGGGCTCATGTCAAGAAGCCTCAACCATCCAGACGATGATGATCTCCTTAAAGAGGTAAGCAGTGAAGCTAGGGAAAACTTCAAAAAGATTTTCCTATTTATGTCAATGACCTCCATGCAAGGATATTTGACTCTCATTGTAGTGCTTATTTTTAAAAAGCCATAAGATGAATAAAAGCAAAGAAAAGAAAATGTTTGGAGAATATATTTTTTCATATACACTACCATTCCAAGGTTTGGGGTCAGATGGGGTAAGATTTATTTTAAAGAAATTAATATTTATCAAAAAAAATCTTGAAAAATATGTATCACGACTGGAGTACATTTTTAGCTTTGCCATCACAGGAATGAATTACATTTGAAAATATATTCAAAAAGAAAACCTTTTTAAATTGTAATATTTCACGGTTGCTGTTTTTATAGAATCTTTTGATCAAATAAATGCAGCCTTGGTGAGCATGTTGTGAAAAACATACAAAAATCCTAAAGACCCCAAATTTTGAACAGTAGAGTAAAAATATTTATAAAAGTAACTTGTGTATTTACTTGTGCAGCACAACAAACCTCTTAACTCTATATTTGTTTTTCATAGTGCACAGAAATGTGCTTGAACAGAAGAATAAGAAGAAAAACAATTGTAACATCTGACTTTATTGATCTTTCAACTATGGCTATATTTCCTTATGGTGCATGATTTCCCATTAACTTGTGCCCTACAAAATAAGGAAGTGTTTTCATCTGTGAATCTTATTAGGTTATCAGCTGATACAACATACTCGACAGAGAGTTGCAAAATTACCTGGAAATAAGTTAACACACTTACAAAATAATATATAAGTAGCTTAATCATATATATATATATATATATATAATCATTTTACTAATTGCAATTCTGTAAACACACCAAAAACAGCACTGGCTGTATACCAAAAATGTCTGGTCCGGATATGAAAACGGGTTTGTTATTTAGTTGGAAAAACATAAGTATCCCTGTCTTTGCCCTGAGGCACAGCTGAGTATTAAGCAACTTCAAACATCTGATACTTCAGCTTGGCTGGGTTTCCTCTCCATGTGTTACTTAAGTGTTGCATGTTGTTTTTTGTCCTACTGACCGTGAGAGGTTCATGAGACCCAGAGTATTCTGGGTAATGGGGCTAACATATGATCGCTGGCCTGTATACTAGCATGTTATACAAGTTTCCATATTGTAAACACAACAGCAGCTAATGATTTACGGACTCAAGAATAAGTAGCAACGCTCCAAAATAAAAGTCAAAAATCTTATAAATCTTATATCTAGGGTAATATTTGTTAAACCCATATGATTTATTGAAAAACTGTGAGAGCATATAAAACACTTGAGTGACAAAGTGAATAGTTCACCCAAAATCGATAATTTGCTGATAATGTACTCACCCAAAAGCCATCCAAGATGGAGATGAGTTTTTCTTCATCAGAGCAGTTTTGGAGAAATTCAGCATCACACCACTTGCTCACTAGTGGATCTTTTGTAGTGAATGGGTGCCGTCAGAATGAGAGTCCAAACAGCTGATAGAAACATTACAATAATCATCACAATAACCAACACCACTCCAGTCCATCAATTAATGTCTTGTGAAATAAAAAAATTGTATGTTTGTAAGAAACAAATCCATCATTAGGCGTTTTAACTTAAAAGCATTGCTTCCAGCTAAAATACCAATCCATATTCTATAATAATGGTTCCTCTAGTGAAAAAGTCCATCTTCTGTTGTCCTCTCACATTAAAATACACCGACATATTTGTTTAGAACTGTTTTGTACTTGTAAATGGTGCTTGATTTGTGCATATTTCTCTCTTGATTCAGACAAGATGACTTTGTCAATGGGGAAAGTATAATATTATGGATTAAGGACTCATATTTTAGTTATATTTTCACTTCACAAGACATTAATTGATGGACTGGAGTCGTGTGGATTACTTGTGTATCATTGTAATGTTTTTATCAGTTGTTTGAACTCTCATTCTGACGGCACCCATTCATTGCAGAGGATCCATTGGTGAGTAAGCGATGTGATGCTGAATTTCTCCAAATCTTTTCTGATAAAAAAAAAAAAAAACTCATCTACATTTTGGATGGCCTGAGGGTGAGTAAAATAAAAATTTTTGGGTGAACTGTTCCTTTGTAGTGTTAAGCTGGTTTGTCACATGACCCACAGCAGACTGCCAGCATATGCACAGTGTCCAGCAGACTATTTAGTGTGACTGTGAGCGTCTGCCTGGATGTGCGCCCACAACATTGGCATTTGTGAGAAGCATCAAGCCTCTTTCTTTTGCTTTCTATGCACATGCATCAACTCAGTGGGACAGCTAGGGAAATTTCAAATGGATGCTTTTTATTTTCTGTTCCTCCAGTGAGCTTTGTAACAGAATAAGAGGCTGCACACAGTATAGAAGTTACTGAACCTGAATTCCCCTTGAGTTAGGACCCTGTACTTCGAAACAGTTGCTATGCATTTGTCAAGTCGCCACATGTGCAGACCAGATCAGATTTGACAGGTTTCCATGCACATGATCCACAGGGCTATTTCTGAGCCAGGCTGTTTGTTAGTGTGGTATAGAACAGTCTGCAAATTTGGCCCTATGGCACATTTGACCTGTACTGACGGGCAACATGGTGTTCCTGGATCAGACTGCTGACAATTTTTTCTATAGGGATTATTATAAGCATGCAGTTTGGAGAAAAATTATTCTTCGCCGACAGAACATTTTTGTTTCAATCTTGAACATCTCAATTCAATTCAGTTCAACTGTTCGATTCAGCAATGTCTATTAATGTCTCTTTGAAAATCGCCATCAGTTCATGCTGCTGTTAACACTTTCTCCGACAAGCGGATGCATTTTCCAGTTTGGTCAGGTGACGCTTGACATGCACCCCATTTTACAACAAAATTCAAAACTTAAATGCCGTTTAGACGCTCTTTAATATGACGTGAAAGATCGCTGTAGCCGCCTCAGTTCAAACAGCAACACGGAGTGCGCAAAACAATCCTCTTACTCTTTACTACTTGTAATCGCACAAAATAACATTAGAAGATATGTTGAAATAAACACTACAACTTATTGAAATGTTTTGTCTCTTAAGTAATCGCCCGATTAGTGTTTTAACCACAGAAAATACCTCAACAAACCCGCTGGTGAACAACATGTCACATGATGTCTTATTTACCAAAGAAAAGATGTCAAGTGTTCACAGCTCGTTAGTCGGCTTGAAAAAAAAAGATAGAGATGTACGTATATAGAGAGAAGGTCGTAAATATATAGATAGATTTATGCAATATATGAATAAATTCGCCAGCCACCATTTAAATTATTATTCTTCACAGCGGTTTGGAGTAAAAACATATCATTAAAGACACACTTTTTCATTGACTACTCAAAATGTGTTTCTTGGTCAAATATGGAGCAGGTCACATGTTTTATGTTTTTCGACCTGGCAGTCAGAGAACTTTATTTGACTCCTCTTATCTTTACAGGACATGGATACAGCCGAAACAATAGCCGATTCTTCCTTCAATATCAGTGATTCAGACAGAAATACTGGATCAATGGAAAACTTTATTCACCAGGATGTTAGCCTTCACCAAGCCACTCTGCCAAGATCCACTGAAGCACAAAGCAGCGTCACCATGGAAGAGACGTGTTGCATTAACAACCACTCCATGCCAAACATCAATTTGGACAATTCAACTAATGCTGAAGCTTTTGAAGACTCGGATATCATAGACCTCCTCCTGACTGCTGGCACTAGCCTGCCAAGCCCTATAGATCCTCTGCTGGAGGAAGCCATGCTTGATGAGATTGGTTTAATGGATTTGGCCCTGGTAGAACTTAGCCAGGCACAGTCTGAAGATCAAAACCCAGCAGATTCTGACTCTGGTTTATCCTTGTACTACAGTCAAAGCCCTGCCTCTCCTAGTGGATCTGAATCTTCCAGTTCCTCATCATCTTCTTCATGCTCTTTTTCACTGTCCAGCCCAACCCCTAGTTTGATGCCCGAGGAAGGTGCTGTGGGTTACACCAATATCAAAGAAGAGGATGAAGCTGTGGGTGAGTACATGCCAGAACAAAGCAAGATGTGTCAGTCAAGCTTTTTGGAAGCCAGACAGTTCCATCGCCTTCCTTGGCTCGAGCACATCGGACACGATCATACCTACAACCAACCTCAAAGCCGGAAGAAACCTCCAAAAGATCTTTCCGATGAGTCGCCGAAAAACAAGGTGCTGGAGCATCTGTCCTGCCGAGATGAGAAGCATGCACGTTTGCTGAATCTCCCGTTCTCCAATGAACACATCATAAACTTACCCGTCGATGAGTTCAGTCGCTTGCTAGCCAAATATCATCTCAATGAGACTCAGCTTACGCTTATCAGAGACATTCGCCGCAGGGGTAAAAACAAAATGGCTGCTCAGAACTGTCGTCGAAGGAAGCTAGATGTCCTGCTGGGATTGGGGGGTAGTGTGGATAGCCTGCGATGCCTCCGGGCCAAACTGCTCAGGGAAAAGTCTGAGATCTTGCGCTCCATCAGGGAGATGAAGCAGCATCTTAATAGCTTGTATCAAGAGGTTTATGAGAGACTAAGGGAGGAACAGGGACTGCTGTACTCTGACAACAACTTTACTTTGCAGCAAGACAGCACCAGACCTGTAACATCACAACGCAGATCAGATTCACACCCCAGACGCAAACTTAGCAAGAGACAAAAACACAAGAAGTGAGATGGAGGACTCATGCTATGACAAGCCTCAGGAAAAATGCTCTGTGCTCTGAAGTCCACCTGCTGGTTTTCCACAGTTCAATGGGAAATTGCTCCAAATAGGGTATTATTTTTACCCAAGTGATCACCCTTGATAATGTATTATACTATGTAGGCATATAATACAACTTGACCGAACTTTAGGTTCCACAAAGTTTTGATATTAAAGGGCCATATCTTGAGTTTTTTTTTATCTTTTAAGCTAAAGGTGTTGATGTACTCTTAAAAACCTACTGTAATGGACAGCTAAACCTCAGTTTGTGTGTAAGGCCTAGTCTAGCCAGAGAAAGCACTCAACGCTGTTGTACATTTCACATGTAAACAAGGCACAGCAGCAAATAATTTTTTTTTATTTCACAGAGAGGGGGAAAAACTCATTAAGGAAGCCATTTCACTCATATACATCACAATACGGGGGGGTTTCATGTCCACTTTAAAAACAAAACGGGGAGTAACTGAAAAAAGGAGTAACTGAAATTGTTCCCAAAAAAATCAGAAAACCAAAATAATCCCATGTTAGATCAGCAAATGGTAAATTATGCTTGGAATCCAAGCACTGAAACAAAGGTTTAATGCATTTGAACTACTGCTTACTGGTATAATAAAAGTGTTGGTTTGCCATCTCATTATAGGGAACACCTTCATAATGTGAGCTTAATTTTGAGCAGGATTTACATTCACTAAATAGCAGGGTTGTAAGAAAAAGGATTTTTGACTCACCGTGTTTTGATTTGTCTTTGTGCATGAGTGTCTTATTAGAGATTACGTTACTGTAACTCACTGACGAAATGTTTAAAATACCAGTTCTGTATTTGATTTCATGTTTTAAAATACTTTGTAAATAATGTAAACTTTTTTTATATTCAATCATGTACCTTGTGTTAAACATTTTGCAGTGAATTTGTGTTCTTGGTTCTTGTTTCAATTAAAATATTTATTGTCCACAATTTTCAGCTTCTTTTTTGTAACACAAGACCTTACTATGAAAATTAAACCTAATTTCTTGTAAAAATAACTTTAATCATAAAACAGAATTAATAAAAAAAGGTTTATTTTAATGAACAAATAACCATTGAAAACGTGAACATGAAAGAAAATAACATGCTTTGAGAACAGTACACTTAAAAGACAATCGAAAGGAAAATCATGCAGTCCCATTACTGATTGTGTACAACTAATAGTACTTCAGTCTCTAGTACACAGCAAAAGTGTATATATGCCACTATCAATACCATATTTTGCAAAAAACAGTAATCCAGTGATCCAAGCACTACTTTAACCAATTAAAAAACTTTTTGAAGATATTTTAACATTGTCAGTACTAACAAGTTTATGCTGGTGCAAAGGAGGTACTAAAAGACCTGATCTGTAGCATGGTAATGTTAGCAAGATTTTTCACCTTCACTACACATATAGGTTTATGATAAAAAGATGCAATGAAGCAGTGTAGTACATTCTACTCCTTGAGCACCGCCGAAGAAGAGGGTAATACAGCAAAGTGTCAAACTTTTCCTCTATGTTTTCTGAAGTATTTATTAGCCTGGCCTGGCATACCTTGATCAGTCTATAAAACTTGAAAGATCAGTCTGAGAAGCTGGAATCTAAAGAGCATATATCCTCTTCACACAGTAATGCAACAGATAAAAAACATCTGACATCTAATAATTAAAAATAAAAAAGGTTTATATGAGATTATGGGAAATGCAGTTTACTAAGCCAACTAGAAATAATTACTTACCCCCCCCCCCCCAAAAGAAGAGAATATAACCATACGCAATATATATCCTCAAATGGTGAACAAATTAAAGATGAGAATACTGTGTACATGGTGAATACAAATGGAGAAATGCTGCTAAAACGGCAAGATTGCAATACACAGCAATTTGCTCACTAATAAGGCGACAACAGCTTTGACAAATGCATTTACACAACAAATGACTTAAATGACGTCTGGACAAATGAGATAGAAAAGAAAAAGAAGGCTTAAGAAATTAGGTCATACCACCTAACAAAGACAAAACACCGTTACTACACACACTCAAAACTGAGATTTGAACAAACTGCTCCGATATCAAATTAATCACTGCACTCAAAATTTACTTTTTTTTTTTTTTTTACAGTTTTAAGTGTTGTGTACTTTGTGTTTTAACTTAGGGCAGCACATTACAGTGACACGTTCTGATTTAGACTGAAATGACTCAAATCTCTTATCAGAAAAATATAGAAGGTACGAGGATGTGCACACAGGATCCACTGCATTTAGTATATACCTCATCAAACGTTGGCCACCTTTTTATTAGCTGGGAATGACTGAGCAACTACTGCAGCATATATATAGCCCATTTCCCATAATCCAACAGAAAGAGAAGCATTGAGGAAATACAGTAATCCTGTGTTTCTTACGGTGGTCAGTATTCTGACTAACATTCACTTTTGCCCACTAAAGATGACTCCACGTCTGCATATCTTGCTCTGAATATATTTTGAGTCCAAGTTTTATGGCATTGAGAGTAAAGGAGTTTTTTGGGTGTCTGATTCCCCATCTTTGAACTGCCCATATCCTAAATACCCCCCACCCCATCCCAAACTAGTCTAACACTGCCTCTGACTTGCCACCTCTCTCGTTCTCCCTCACAGGCCTAGTTCTTATCATCCTTCTTCTCTTCTTCCTCAGAAGGGTAAGAGTGCCATGTTAGTCGCTCTTCATAGAATGAGATGACCACCTGCGGGCACTTCACATTGGCCTCTTTGGCTGGAACAAGATCTGCCTCGTCAGAGTTTTTCCTGTAGAGAATAGGCAGAGGGGGAGAATGATTAAAGGAACAGTTAACTCAAAAATGAAATATTCATTCAAAAACTAAATGGACTCCAGTCCATCAATTAACGTCTTGTGAAGTGAAAAGCTTGTGTTTGTAAGAAACAAATCCATCAAAGCATCTTGACTTCAAACCGCCGCTTCTGGCTAAAATCAGAATCAGAATCAGAATGAGCTTTACTGCCAAGTATGTTTACACATAGGAGGAATTTGTTTTCGTGACAGAAGCTTCCACAGTGTAACAATGACAGTGACAGAACAAAAAACACAGATAATAAAAACATTAAGTAAATAAGGAATAAAACTATATAAATTGACAGTTGTATGTGCAGGTATATTACAATAGACAGTTTTTGTATGTACAGGTACTGAATATTATGTGCAAATTTGAGGTGTAGACTGAGTATGTGCGTTAGATAAATAAGTGTATGAGTGAATAAATAGTGTGTGTTCCACAGTTATTGTTAAGTGTTCATGAGATGGATGGCCTGAGGGAAGAAACTGTTCCTGTGTCTGTTTATTGAAGATGCAGGACAACCAGCTAGCAGTGCATTACAGTAGTCCAGTCTAGAGGTCATGAATGCATGAACTAGCTTTTCTGCATCAGAAACGGGTATCATGTTTCGTAACTTGGCAATGTTTCTAAGATGGAAGAATGCTGTTTTTGTAACATGGGAAATATGATTTTCAAAAGACAAGTTGCTATCTAATATAACACCCAGATTTTTGACTGTAGAGGAAGTAACCGTACATCCGTCTAGTTGCAAATTGTAATCCACGAGATTCGGTGTACTGTCTTTTGGTCCAATAAGTAATATCTCTGTCTTATCCGAATTTAATAGGAGAAAATTATTGGTCATCCAATCTTTTACATTTTTAACACACTCTGTTAGCTTAGATAATTTAGATGTTTCATCTGGTCTTGTTGAGAAAAGAAACGGTGAAATATCGGGTGGTGTGTACTTCCGAATGTCCAGCAATTCGTCTCTGGTGAAACTGCTTGCAGGGATATAACTAAAGACAGGACAAACTAACAAAAACATAAAAACAACTGCGGAGCACGCCACGGAGGCAGCCATCAGCGTCGGCGCCATCTTTACTTTATCTGACTAGTGAGCAAATACTGACTAGAAGCATAATTATTATGGAGTCCAAAATCCATAATAACATTTCCTCCAGTGGAAAAAGTCCATATCCCCTGTTGGCAAGTGATGTAATGCTAAATTTCCTCAAATCTGTTCCAATAAAGAACAATTCTTCTACAGTAAACTTTGAGCAAAATTTCATTTTTGGGTGAATTTTTTAAAATTAATTTTCATATAATGCTTTTTTTTTTTTTAAAGATCATTATTTGGTGTATTTGGTGTATTTGGTGTAACAGAATATGTTGACATGCTTTAATGTTCAAAAAACACATTATTTTTCAAATACTGTACATTATTTTAGGTCCTCTATGCCCCGCCTCTCTCAAACGCTTCGTTTTCTACAAAGTCCCTCCTTCCGACAAGCGCAGTCTGCTCTGATTGGCCAGCTGACCCAGTGCATTGTGATTAGCCGAACACCGCAAGCACTCGTCGGAAATATAACACCCCTTACCATAATCGCGAGCTTCAGCTTTCAAAATAAATGTAAAGACAGAGCCTGAAAGGGGAACAGAGTCTGGTGACAGACACCGTGATGAATATGTGTCTGCAATACACAAGCCACGGTTAAGACAGCTGACTCCACTGTGATGTGTCTCACTCTCTCTAGCGCACTCTCTCGCTCACTCGCGCGCGCGCGCACACACACACACACACACACACACACACACACACACAATGCGCAAAACTCTGCATTTGAACAGTCAATAGCAAATACTTAAACTAATAACAAAACAGTCGCTGATTCAGAAGCGCCAGATTGTCATAGCAAAGTCAGAATTACCTCCTCTCCTAGGTTCACGAAACGGTCGTCCATAAAATGCATTGCTGTTCTGTTGTAAGTAATCTTAAAGATTCCTAAATGCATCTACTTCTGGAAGGCCAAATAAAGTGCTTTTCCT